ACAAAAAATATTCGTTTCACCTTGGCCAGTGTTCTCAGTGGTTAGATCATCAACCCTTACACCAAAGGGTCACAGGCTGGATTCCAGTTAAGGGCATGTAACCTGGATTGTGGATTTGCCCCGGTCCGGGGAGTGTGCAGGAGGCAACCTGTTGATTTGTCTCTCTCACATCCATGTTTTTCTTTCTCTCTCTCTCCCTCCCTTCCACTCTCTCTGAAAAAGCAATGGAAAAAAATATCCTCAGGTGAAGATTAACAACAACAAAAAAGACTTGTTTCAGCCCTGGCCTGGTAGCTCAGTTGGTTAGAGCATCATCCCAATATGCCAAGTTTCAGGTTTAATCCCTGGTCAGGGCTCATACAAGAATCAACCAACGAATGTATAACTAAGTGGAACAACAAATTAATGTTTCTCTCTGTCTCTCAATCAATCAATTAAAAAAATTTTTTAAAGACTCATTTCAAGAGAGTAAGAAAGGCCGAAACCGGTTTGGCTCAGTGGATAGAGCATCGGCCTGCGGACTGAAGGGTCCCAGGTTCGATTCCGGTCAAGGGCATGTACCTGGGTTGCGGGCACATCCCCAGTGGGAGATGTGCAGGAGGCAGCTGATCGATGTCTCTCTCTCATCGATGTTTCTAACTCTCTATCTCTCTCCCTTCCTCTCTGTAAAAAATCAATAAAATATATTTAAAAAAAAAAAAAAAAAAGAGAGTAAGAAAGACTTGGCAGGGTAGTGATGAAACGGGGCTGGCCATGTGTTGATGCCTATTTGAAGGTGAATGATGGGTACATGAGGGTTTACTATTGTCTCTACTTTTGTGTAAGTTAAAAAAAAAGGTCTATGATCCCAAGGTGAGAGTAGTATGCTGTGGTTAAGAGCCCTCAGACGAACCTTTAGCCCTAAGACTAACTTACCATGTACTACCTGACCCTGGGCAAACCATTCTCCATCTCTGAGCTGCTTTTCTCATCTGACAAATGGAAGCAATGGTCCCGACACTTACCCAGCTTAGGGAAGAACTGCAAGAGTTTCCTGTAGTGCCTGGCAGAGCAATCTGTCCCTAATGTTATTTTCCTTGTCACTATTGTTGCTGCTATTATTACTCTCACACCACCACACTGCCTCATGACGAAGGACTAGAGGCCAGATACTAACTTGAGACTGGGGCCTGGAGTCCATAAAAGACCACTTAACTCTGTCCCCAACCGTCTCAGGGGTTACTCCTGACAACTGGGACACTCAGGGGCAGCCCTAGGCCCTTGAAGGCTGAGGCAGAGACTCACCTACAGCCCGGAAGAGACAGGCGCCGTCCTCCTTCATTTGCTTGATGATGAAGCCCTTCTTGTCTCGCAGGGCCTTTTCAAACCAGTGTTCCTGCTGCAGGGAAGAGGTGTGGGGGTCAGCAACAGGAAAGGCCTGCACCCCCTCCCCAGAGCTCTGCCCTCGAGCTCCTGAGGGGCCCAGCTGATTGGCTGAGAGGACACTGGACAAGGTCAAGTTCTCAGCCCTGTTTGACCATTCCATGCATGTGGAGCAGGAGGAGACCCTTTCTTTTAAGGAGCCAGGCATTGTGTGAGCAGACTTGCTCCCAGAGGAGCCACAGCTACATTCTGCCTCCTGCTGACCATGCTGGGAATCCAAGGCTGGACCTTCCCACAGGCAGCCAGAGGCCCAGGGCTGGCAAGAATGGGGAACTGGAGGGAGGAAGCTGGCTCTGCCTCAAGTAGTTTCACCTGGGGACCCTCTAGCCCAGTGGTCGGCAAACTCATTAGTCAACAGAGCCAAATATCAACAGTACAACGATTGAAATTTCTTTTGAGAGCCACATTTTTTAAACTTAAACTGTATAGGTAGGTACATTGTTATTAACTTAATGAGGGTCCTCCTAAGCTGGCCTTTGCTAAAAACGTCCTCAGTCTGATTGAGGTACGTTCGCTGAGGTCGACCCCTTCCAACTCTCCCATCCACACTCGTCTTGTATACTTGTTTCGTCTATCTTTTGTTACTCGTGCGTGACTTGCAGACGCGACTAGCACTAACCACTGCACAATGAGACTGCTGACTGACTGGCTCACTCAACTCATGCGCTGCGTCTCCCGTCGCACAACTAACCGACACCCCCCACTTCTTCTAACGCCACTTCTTCAAAATAGACTTGCCCAGGCTGAAAACCGACTTCTGCGCATGGGCCACGAAGTTTCAATCGCACTGTACGTGCGCGTCTGCACGTGGTATTTTGTGGAAGAGCCACACTCAAGGGGCCAAAGAGCCGCATGTGGCTCACGAGCCGTGGTTTGCCGACCACTGCTCTAGCCACTCTAGGGGAGGAGAGATGTTGAGAAGGGAATGATTGGTAAGATCTTTAATCTCACATATAGTTAGGAATTGCCAAGATCTTGCATAAGGCAAAATGTATGAAAATATGATTTTACTTGTGGATGAACACATTTAGCATATATGTATATGCATATGTATACAAACACATATGCATACAAAGTTGGGAAGGCTATGTAACAAAATATTATTCCTAAGTGTTGGCATTGCAGGTGACTTTACTTCACCTCCTTCTTTCTAAGAGATATGCAATCGCTCATCCAAAATTCCCTAACTCAAAAAGCTTTGAAAACCAAAAGACTTTATCTAACTTATTTGGCATCATTACCTGACCTGAGCTGAGGAGAATCCATTTACTCCACTTGGAGATGAATATTCAAACATTTCCATGCAGAAACATTCGGGTGTTTGACTATGATAGCAGTCCTCAAACTTTTTAAACAGGGGGCCAGTTCACTGTCCCTCAGAACGTTGGAGAGCCGGACTATAGTTTAAAAAAACAACTATGAACAAATTCCTATGCACACTGCACATATCTTATTTTGAAGTAAAAAAACAAAATGGGAACAAATACAATATTTGTATTTGCATGTGGCCTGCGGGCCATAGTGTGAGGACCCCTGGATTACGAGGTCTGCCACAGACCCCACTGGAGGTGTTACAGAAACAGCATACACACCAGGTGAGTTCTCTAAATTCTGAAAATTTTCTCAATTTCCAAAGCACATTTGGACCCAAAGGTTCAGATTAAGTGAACTTGTACAAATGTGTTTTTTAAAAAATAATGCAGAGATGAGTAGACAGAATACAGAGCATTACTAGAGCAGTGAAACTACTCTGTGTACTACCACAGTGGATACATTTGTCCAAACCTCTAGACCAGGGGTCCTCAAACTACGGCCCGCGGGCCACATGCAAATACAAATATTGTATTTGTTCCCATTTTGTTTTTTTACTTCAAAATAAGATATGTGCAGTGTGCACAGGAATTTGTTCATAGTTTTTTTTTAAACTATAGTCCGGCCCTCCAACGGTCTGAGGGACAGGGAACTGGCCCCCTGTTTAAAAAGTTTGAGGACCCCTGCTCTAGAATGTAACCAAGGGTAAGCCCAATGTAAACATTTGGAAGTTGTTTACAAAAATGGCCCAGGGCTGCCAGAAGCCAGGACTTTGGGTGAGTGTGATGTGTCAATGTAGATACATCAATCAATTATAATAAATGTATCATTTTGATAGGGCATGTTGATAGTCGGGATGCTATGTATGTGTGGGGACAGGAAGTATATGGAAGCTCCCTGTACCTTCTGCTCAATTTTGCTGTCAATCTAAAACTGCTCTAAAAATAAGCATAACCAATGGACATAAGACACTGGGGGATGGGGGAGGCTAGGGGACTGTCTTGGGCGGGGGGAAAAAATGGACACATATGTAATACCCTTTGTAATAAATAATAATAAAAAAAAGAATGATGAGCATTTAGGAAAAGCGGAAAAAAAATAAAAAAAATAAAACTGCTCTAAAAAATAAAGTCTATTTAAAAAAAGTAGAATGTCCACGTGTCACTTCAAACATATTTTCCATTTCAAAACCAAACAAACTAAAAGCAGCACCTTTCCTAGGCCCCTCACGCCCTCTGCTGGCCATCAGGAGAAGCCAGCCTGATCCAGTATCAGGACTAGGGACCAAAAATCCCAAGCCTGCTCCTTGGGGATACCACCCTACTTAGGGATTTATAGGATCCAGGCAATTGCCAGCCAGAGGGGATCACTTCTCTGCAGGCCTTCCCCCCCCACCCCCCAGCTCCAGTGAGAGAAATTCCTGGCAAAATGGGAAGCACAAGGTTTGGAGGCCAAAAGCTCTGGGTTCCAACCCCAGCTCTGTCACTCACTCGCAGCAGGATTTTGGGTAAGCTACCTGAACATTCCAAGCCTCAGTTTCCTACCAAATGGGGATTATGGGATATACCTGAAAGAACTGTCAAGACGATCAGAGGAGCTTCAGAGCCAGAAAAGGCTTTGTAAATATTGTACCATATACTGGGGAGGTGGTCACCAGTCAGAGAAGAAGGGGTGAGACCAACACAGACAGAGATAATGTACAACTGAGAGACCCTCAGAAAGTCCCAGGTGAGTGGCTGGACAGGAGGGGATGAAGAGAGGGCGACAAGGGAATACCCAGCAGCCCCACAACCAGGGCCCACACCCCGGGAAGGTATGGCTGGCTGGCTTTCCAGAGATGACAAAGGCACTGGGAAGCCCTTAATGGGCTTCCATGGGAAGCACAAAGACTCTTGTTTGTGCACAACATTCCAGAAGTCCAGGTGCCCCTCCTGCCCCAGAGGTTATAGACTAGCACACTCCAACCAGTCCCCCAAATCCATCCCTGCCCCATGGGGTCAGCCATCTCCCAGCTGGGGGTCTCCAGCAGAGCAGCTGCAACTATAGCTACAGCCTGAGACTGGACTGAAGTTCTAAAAAAGAAAGGCACCCAGCAACCGCCTGCCCTAAGCGTGTGGGGAAAGGAGATCAAAGGGGATGAGAAGGCCTCCTATTTATTTATCCATCCAGTAAAGGGTTACCAGGCAGCTGCTAAGTCAGACCTTGGGCTGGCAAGGAGGCCAGAGAAATGAATCAGACTTGCTCTCTAACCTCCATCAGCTCACAAACTGCGCGAGGGGCAGGGAAACAGGCAGTGACTACACACAAGTGTGAGCAGGACTGTGAAAGAGATGAACACAGGGATGCTAGAGAACATGGAGGAAGTAACCTGGCCAGTCATTAAGGCTGGCATCCGAGAGGAGGTTCCACCAGAGCAAAGGATTAAAACATCAAGACCTCCAGAAAAGCTTGTGAATTGGATAAGAAATCACTTCTGCCACAAAGCACCAGGGAGGCCACAGGCCAGCAATGAGTTCAGCCGAGCTCGAGCTCAAGTCCTGGGTAGGGCTATGAAGGTAAGCGGGGCAGGGCCAGGAAGAAAGATGAACTCATATTAGCCAAATGCCTGCCTCATGCCAGGTGCCAGATGCAAAAGGTAACCTCTTAATTGTACCACAGCCCAGATGGCAGGAAGCATTATCCTCATTTTATGAAGGCAGAAAAGAGCTGGGGTTTGGGCACCAACAAGGCCTAGTATAGAAGCAACAGGGGAGGCCTCATGAGCCATAGCATGGAGACAAACTTAGCAGGCCGTGCTGGGGAAAGCCTGGTTTATCCCTAAACATGAAGGAGGCCTGAGCATTCCCTTTGCACAAGCAGGGCTTTAGTCCTAGGCAGCCAGTGTGGCATCTGTGCCAGGATGTGGAGGCCTAGCCACTAACCACCCACTGGCTTTGGCACCAGCAGCCTTAAGATCCTGGGCTCTGGCTGAAACCCTTTTCTCTCTCTCTCTGTTGGGAGAGAAAATAGGGAGATCCTGGTCCTGAGTTCTAGAAAGAGTTTATACAGTTCCAGGAGCTCATAGCAAAGTCTGTTCCTTATCCCAGCTGGACAGGAGCCTCCAAAAAAGGTGCCAACTTGGAAGTTGCTTAGGAAAATGGCTCGGGAAGGACAGGCTGGTGGGAGTGAGGGGCAGAGGGTGGGGGCTGGCCCAGCCATAGAGAAGTTTACACTACATTAATGTCCTGGACCAAGGAAGTCAAGTCCAGACCCTCAATCTTGCAATCCCACTATAAGCCTGTGGGCAAGTCCATCCACACCTCTGAGCCTCCACAAAGGGGCTGGGCAAACCCCTCTGACAACAGGGGATCCCAGGTGTAAGACTCTGCAACCTACTGCTACAAAGACCCAAGAAAAGTTGCAAAAGACTGTGGGACCCAACTGACTTAGGTTCCGATCCAGCTCCAATTATTAGCCATGTGATGACCTGCTCTGAGCCAGTTTTCCAATCTGTGAAATGGGATAACAAGTCTTCCAATAACAGGGATACTGAGAAGACTCAAATATTACAGGACTCTGTCCAGTAGGAGAGCACTTAATTTGTTCCTATCCCCTCCCTGGAAGGGAAACAAGAACACCCCTGTAGTAGGCTGAATTAAGAGTCAT